CCTCCTAGCCCTTCTCCCACCCTGCTCCCAAGCCCTCCTTGACCCCATCCTGAGAGCCCATTCTATTTCCCTACCATCGCGGTTTGTAGGGACCCAGTTCCTCTCTGGTTCTCAGCTGGATGCGGCACTGTAACAGAGACAGGACGCAGTCTTTTGTTTACCACTGCATTCTCAGCACATAGCCCTGCACCTGGCACCCAGTAGGTACATAACTATTGTCTTGCAGATAAGTGAACAGAGATGGCAATCATATCTGCCTCATGCCGTCATGGTGGGTATTAAAGAAGATGATGGGTGGACAGTACCTTACATGGTGTCTGGCACACAGTGAGCATGTCACATTGGCAGCTGCTAATGGTGGCTGCTCAGCTCCCGAACACTGGCCAGGAGCTGTGCACCCTGTTTGGAGGCCATGCTTGGGTTCAGCCACTCCCTTGACTGCCTCCCATTCTTCCTCTAGTCTCCCAATGCTTCTAGCCTGGCCTCAGGATCCCCTATCACTCAGGGCCTGGTATGACACCATTCTAGCACACTGTACAGGGAAAGCTGGGGTGGAGGTGGGCAGGACAGAGGATAGAACAAGATGTTGTCAAGAAACCTTCAAATGTCCCAGACTTTCTTAAGAAAAGTATTTCTTGGGAGACACCTCTCTTGGTGTCCAAGCTGTCTGAGGGCCCACAACAGATACTTGCAAACAGTTACTCGCAAACCTAGCCCCATTTCCTCCCCTTCCGGGGACAAGGTGCCGGGTGGTAAAGCAGGGCTGCTACCAGCAGTCAAAGAGCCTCATTGCTGAGCATTTTCCAACACCTGAACCCCAAACAGTTTTAAGACGTATGGAGATTTCCTTTCCCCTAAGGTAAGCTTTTCTGAGGCAGTCAGGATAGAGCAAAAAGCCAGCATGGGGCCTGGATGCCTGGGTTCTCAGCCTGCTCATGACAGCCTTCGTTCCTCTACATCTTTGCTTATGCCTCTGGGATGGGACAGAACAGCAAAGGTCAAACATTCCTCAGAAGCGCCACCCTTGGGTCAAATTGAATTGTTCCAAGACATGACTCAATATGCTGAAGATGAAGGTGAAGATCTGCCGGTCCTGTGTCTCCCTGATGGCCCCATTTGTTTTCCTGCATCTCCCCATGTGCTGCAGTGGCCATGGGCCTTGGGGCATGTGAGACACAGCCTTGGGGCAGCCAGGCCTCAGGCCCTCCATGCGCCCCAGCAAGGAGCAGCAGCACCATGCTTAGAGAATGTGCAGACCCTGTCCTGGGCAGCTCCGGGGCTGGGGCAGGGGATGCTAGGCTGGGATGCTCCTGAGTGAGCTGCTGGGGCTCTGGCTGTGATACATGCTGAAACCCAGCCTCCCTGGGCAGAGAGGTCACACAGGGACTACTTAGAAGGTTGCCAGGGAAAGGAGTCTTCTCCACAAGGGCCAAGATCAAGCTGGAGACTGTCAGCCCCATCAGATGTCTGAGGTGACAGGAAAGGACTCTGGGTCCAGTTCTTCCATTACACATAAAAGGACTATGGGCCCAGCCTTTCCATTACACAGAAAAGGAGCATGAGGCTCAGGAAGGGCAGTATCTAACCTGAGGAGACAGGGAACTGAGTGGTAGAGCTGAGAATCAAAGTACCTCAAGGTACTGAAATATGTCTCTTGCCACTGCAAGCCTATCCTTCCTCCAGAGCCGGCACCCTCTCTGCTCCGCACAGCAAGTGCCTTCCTGTTCTTTCTACCCTCCTTTGGGAAAGCCACTGCCAGGAAAGATGCAGAAAACTCTTTCCCAGTGAGGAGGAACGAGAGATAAGGTTTGTGGTGCAGAAATGGCTACATCGCACAACAAGAAGTGAAACTCTAACAGGAAAGGCAACGGCTGAAGGACAGGCAAGGGCAGGTAAGGGCAGGAGATGGGTGGTCAGGAGCAAGGCCTTGCCTGCTGCACTTCCTGGCATGTGGGCCAGGTGAGGTTGGGACGCTGGGCTTTTGGATGAGACATACATGCGTAGGAGTCCCAACTCAGCTGGGGCTAGCTTCGTGGGGATGAGACCAGTGTGTTCATCCAAGCACCATGCTTGGCTTAATGCTTTGCTGTTGCCATTGTAAAATATGGCATAATTTTTGAACAACGGGCCTTAGCATTTTGCACTGGGTACTGCAATATTTGCCTGCAGAAACCTCCCACGCCTCACTCTCACTGGTGGCTCTCACTCACCAGTGGCTAATCGTGTGTTCTTGAGTAACTGTTTTAACCTCTGGGAGCCTGTTTTCTCATCCGTAAAATGGAGATAGCAGCACCTGCCTCACAGAATTGTTACAAGATGAATTAGGAGAACATATGCAAAGGTCCTAGCGAGTACCTGGCACATACCAAATACTTAATGACAGTTACTGTTTCAGATTAAATAGTATTAAAACCACACCTTGTTTTATTGTACTTCACTTCATTTCACTTCACAGATATTTCATTTTTTACAAATTGAAGGTTTGTGGCCAGCTTGAGTCCAGCAATGCTATTGGCACCATTTCTCTAACAGCATGTACTCACTTGATATCTCCGTGTCACATTTTCATAATTCTCACAATATTTTCAACCTTGTTGTAATCATTATATCTGTTATGATGATCTGTGATCTTTGATGTCACTAACGTCCTTGTTTTGGGGCAAAACAAGCTGCATCCATATAAGAGAGTCAGCTTAATCACGCTATTCTGACTGCTCCACCAACAAGCCAGCCATTCCCTATCTCTCTCCCTCTCCTCAGGCCGCCCTGTTCGCTGAGACACAACAATATTGAAATTAGGCCAATTTGTAATCCTACAATGGCCTCTAAGTGTTCAAGTGAAAGGAAGACTCATAGTGTCTCACGTTAAATCAAAAGCTAGAGCTGATTAAACTTAGTGAGGAAGGCATGTTGAAAGCTGAGACAGGTCAAAAGAGCTAAGCCTCTTTTGCCCAAGAGTTAACCAGGCTGTGAATGCAAAGGAAAAATGCTGGAAGAAAATTAAAAGCACTACTCCAATGAACACACAAATAATAAGACAGTGAAGTATCCTTATTGCTGGTATGAAGAAAGTTTGAGTAGTCTGGATAGAACATCAAATCAGTCACAACTTTCCCTTAAGCCAAAGCCTAATCCAGATCAAGGGCCTAACTCTCCTCAATTCTCTGAAGGTGGAGAGAGGTGAGGAAGCTGCAGAAGAAAAGTTTGAAGCTGGCAGTGGTTGGTTCATGAGGTTTAAGGAGAGAAGCCATCTCCATAACATAAAAGTGCAAGGTAAAGCAACAAGTACTGATGTAGAGGCTGCAGCAACTTATCCAGAAGATCTAGCTAAGAGAATTGATGAACGTGACTACACTCAGCAACACGTTTTCAATGTAGACAAAACACCCTTCTATTGGAAAAAGATGACTTCAGGACTTTCAGAGCTAGAAAGGAGACGTCAATGCCTAGCTTCAAAGTTTCAAAGGACAGGCTGACTCTCTTGTTAGGGACTAATGCAACTAGTGACTTTAAGTTGAACCCAGTGCTCACTTACCATTCTGAAAATCCTAAGGCCTTTAAGAATGATAATCAACCTGCTCTCCATGTTCTAGAAAAGGAACAAGGCCTGGATGACAGCACATCTGTTTACAGCATGGTTTCCTGAGTATTTTAGGCCTGCTGTTGAGACCTACTGCTCAGAAAAGAATATTCCTTTCAAAATATTACTGCTCATTGACAATGCATCTGATAACCTAAGAGTTCTGGTGGAGACGTATAAGGAGATGAATGTTGTTTCCAGGCCTGCTAACACAGCATCCATTCTGCAGTCCGTGAATCAAAGAGTGATTTTGACTTCCAAGCCTTATTACTTAAGAAATATATTTCTTAAGGCTATAGCTGCCATAGATAGTGATTTTTCTGATGTATTTGAACCAAGTAAATGGAAAAACCTTCTGGAAAAAATTCACCATTCTAGATGCTCTTAAGAGCATTTGGGGTTCATGGGAGGAGGTCAAGATAGCAATGTTAACAGGAGTTTGGAAGAATTTGACCCCAACCCTCACAGATAATTTTGAGAGCTTCAAGGCTTCCGTGGAGGAAGGAACTGCAGATGTGGTGGAAAAAGCAAGAGAACTAGAATGAGAAGTAGAGGCTGAAGATGGGGCTGAATGGTGCAATCTCATGATAGTATTTAACAGATGAAGAGTTACTTCTTATGGATGAGAAAGAAAGTTTTTCTTGAGATGAAGTCTACTAGTGGTGAAGATTCTGTGAATGTGAATGTTGTTGAAATGACAAAAAGGATTTAGAATATTCCATAAACTTAGCTGATAAAGCAGCGGCAGGGTTTGAGAGGATTGACTCCAATTTTGAAAGAAGTTCTACTGTGGGCAAAATGCCATCAAACAGCATCTCATGCTATAGATATAACTTTTGTGAAAGGAAGTCAATGGATGTGGCAAACTTCATTGTTGTCTTATGTTAAGAAATTGCCACAGCCCACCCCAACCTTCAGCAACAACAACCCTGACCAGTCAGCAGCCATCAACTTCGAGGCAAGACCCTCCACCGACAGAAAGATTACAACTCACTGAAGACTCAGATAATTGTCAATAATTTTTAGTACTAAAGTATATTTAAATTAAGGTGTATATATATATATATAAATATATATATATATTTAAAACATAATGCCATTGCACACTTAGACTATAGTAAAGTTATGTACATCCCTACTTCATCTCACACCACACCTCAGATATTACGTGTTACATGAAGTACACTAAATGAACTGGGGAACCAAAATGTTCATGTGACTTTTACTGTGATATTTGCTTTACTGCAGTGGTCTGGAACCGAACCCCTGTCTCTGAGGTATGCCTGTAATTACGGACTACCAGGTGACAAGGTAGATGCCTTGCTCAATAAAAGGATTTTAACAACCACGTCCCAGATCCCACAAACCAAGAAAGGGCCACAGGTCCCAGACACCAGCCTGTGCTCCCCTGGCCTCTTACCGTCCCGAAACGGTTGTGTCTGCATCTGCAACCGGATCTTGATGAGGTCCACGGGCCCTCCCAGCCCGACAGAGACCACACCGGCCACCATGCTGGCCAGGAGCAGGTCCGACAGTGTGCGTGGAGGACTGGCCTCAGGCTCCCTGCAGCGGTGCTGGCTGAGGAACCGCTGCGTGTTACTGAAGACCCCAAACACCACGGAGTTGTAGACGGCAATGCTGGCAAGGGGGAAGGACATGCCCTTGAAGAAGCCAAACACCTGCAGTGAAACCCAGAAGGAAGAGGCGTGAGGACCCGGGGCTGCCGTCGCAGGGCCTGCAGGATGGCAGGGAACACCACTGGACACATCTGCCCAGGTGTCAACGAAGAGAGGGGAAGAGGGTGCTGATGCGACAGGAGGCAGAGGGTCGGGGGCTGCTCAGGGGCAGGCATCCTTGCTCTGATGACAGTCCGGCTTCTGCAAGCCGCTTTGTTTCCTATGGGTGGTGTCCTGGCCTGGAACCCACATGTGCCGGGAGGGGCAGTGATCTTGGGCTGGAAAAAAGTCAGGCTGTGGCCACGGGGGAACCTGAGGAGACCTTAGGAGCAGTGGGCTGGCCAAGCACCACACGCCCCCACCTCATACACCACAGTAAAAACATTCTCCAGGCACTGGCCAGGGGCCAGGCCCTGGGGAGCAACCGTAAGAAAGAAACGGCCTCTGCCCTCACTGAGCTCATAGTCTGGGGAAAGTGAGGTGCGGAACAAATTGACAGGCAGTTACAACATAGGCAGCCTGCTAAGCCTGTAGTATAAGACAGGGGTTCCCTAGATCCCTGAGGGGTGCCTGGGCCAGCCTGTAGATGAGTGCCCACCAGCATGGGTGTCTCCTAACAGAAGTAGCTGAAGGGGCTACACAAGGACACAGGATGCGCACACACAGGCTGCAGGAGGCTGAGGAGGCGGTGCTGCAGGCTGGGGTTCAGTCCCTTCCACACGGCATTCTTGATGAACACCACAGATGTGCTGAGGAAAACCGGAAAATTCCACAGGCCCTTGGAGGAGTCAGGGCAGCACACGCGTGCCAAATCAAATGTGAGAAAGTACTGGGAAGCTATTGTGCAGACTCCAGGCTGTGCACAAACCCACTAGTCCTTGCTGCACACACTGTACCCTGGCTGCCAGAGGCAGGGTGCCTCACACACACCAGCACATGCACACACACGTGCATATATACACACATGTATGCACACACACATGTGAACACACCTTGCTTCATACTGTTCTTCCATCGCAAGATCCTTCAGATAACTTGGATGTGGCTTAGCCATGAGCTGCTATGCCTCAGAGAAACCACCCGCAGTCCCCACCAAAACCCCGGAGCTGGGACACAGGCTGGAAGACACTGTCAGGAATGTGTGCCAAAAGGAGAATCAACAGCCACTTTCAGGGGACTGTGGACTCCCACAACATCACCCGGGAACACCAAGTGCTAGGCTTGCAGTGCTCGCCCCAGTTGTAAAGCAGCCGATCAAGGGAGTTACAACAACAGCCTGATGCAAGACACACTTCATCTGTGGGAAAACTCTAGGTGCTTGCAGGAGGCTTCCGAGCCCCAGGGCACTTGTTGGGATGGAGTCCGGTGGAGACAGTGGTTACATTGGGGCCACATTTCCAGTGACTCAGAGAAAAGTCAGAGGGCTGCGACAGGGTTCCACCTGATGGTTTCTTTAAATCAGGTCATTTCATTCAAAATTTTAAAGTTTATTCTAAATTCCAGAAAGAGTGGCCTCAGAAAGTGTTCCTGGAGCACATGCCAGTTCTCAAGAAGGGAGTCTGATATATCTTCTACAAAGTATCATTCAGTTTTCCCTTTGGAAAAGGAACACCTCAGGTCACATGGTCTCAAGCACCCTGGGCACAGGTAAACTCTGCTGTCTGGGCTCAGATGTGCCTGACTGCCGCCAGGCCAGATAAAGGGAGGTCTATCAGCACACGGTTTGCCAGTCACTTGTTCCTTTGTGAAAAACTGAGTGACCACCTTGTTTCTGCAGGAATTTTCCACACTGTGGCTCCAGATTCTTCAGGATTTCTCCATAGTGGTTACACAAAACCGGAGTTTTTCTTCAGTTATGCTGTGGTAGGTGGCAGGGGTGAGTTTAGGTAACACGTAATATTTGAGGTATGGTGTGAGATGAAGTAGGGAAAATCGAGCCGAGTGTGAAGAGCAGAATGAGAGGTCCCCACCTGCAAGCCAGTGTGGGGCTGTGGCCCTGGTCCCTAGCCCGTGGGGTCCCAGGCAGGCATCACTCCACCCGCCCAAGAGGCACTTACGCTCTCCCTCCTGTACACCATGCGAATGCAGCTGAGGGTGTTTCCGTATCCGACGCCGGCCTGCAGGCGAGTCTGTGGAGAGAGGCAAGGGCATGGATCGGCTCAGAGATCACTCATAGCCCACTGCTCCAAAGATGCTGGGAGGGAGAGGCCCTGCTCATAGTGACCCCCACCAGCAAAGGGTCTGGGTTTCAGTCCAGGCCAGGCTGGTGCTCTGTTTCTGGCTTGCACTGCCTCCCTCTAGTGTCCCATTCAGACTTACTCATTGCAAAGAAGCCTGCTTTGCTGAAAGAATGGCAAAGGCCAGCTAGTTGTGCCGAATGATCGTATGATCCCCGCCTCTTGAGTATAAAAACTAAACTGGGACTCTACCCTATCTGCTGTCTGTTGCTGCCCCCTCCAAAATATCTTTGGGGGAGACCTGCTCTTCTTGTCCCTAGAACCACCACCCTAGGCCTCACCCCTCATCCTCACCAGAAACATGGCCTGAAGCCCTCCCTGGTCTCCTGCTTCTCCCTCACTTCCTCCATTTCTCTTTATACAACAGGCAGACTGATCATTTTCAAAGGTCAATGAAGCCTCCAGTGGCCTCCCATCAAATGTAGGATAAATTCTGCACTCTCCCTGAGACTGGGAGGCACCTGTCTCTCACCCCATGTGCCATCTCCTCTCCCCGGGCCCTGCATGAGCTGCATGTTCCCAGACCCTGCAGCAGCAATTCTTTCCTGCCTCCATCCAGCTGCCCCTACTGTTCCCCACTTCTGGAAGGCCCTTCCTCCAGCTCCTCCTCATCTTTTAGGTCTGAGTCGAAATGTCGAGTGGCCCCATGTGTTTGATTACATAGGGTTTATGTTGGGTCACCCAACTAGGGTAGGACCACCTGTGTTACTTTCCTTTCATCTCCAGAGCTGGGCACAGCCCTGGCACAGTGGTCCTTTTGCACTGACTGAAAAAGGACTGTATGGCTAAGGTGTGGTGGCCTCTAATGGAGGCTGGCTTTGGTGACCAGGGGCAGTAGCTGACTGGCACAGAGGGTCTGAGTAAGTCCACTCAAGACTACCCCTGCCCTAGCCTTAGAGGGTTCCACTTATTTTAAGATGTGCAGCCTATAATTCTCCATCAAAACACTTTGTCAGCATGCACAGCATGTCATGCCTGTGCACGAAGGTGCCATGAGACCACCGAAGAGGAGATACTATGCGGCCCAGTTTGCAGTGAGAGGCTGAGACCCAGAAAAGCAGGCTAGCTCTTCACACAAACCACCTGAGCTCAGCTCTGTGGACAAGTGGAGGAGGCCCTGGAAGGGTACATGTAGTTAAAATGGTGATCTCAGAGTTGAAGATCACAGGCAATGTTTTCCTGCATGGGACTTTTCTGCATTTTCCAACTTTCCTACAATCAGCAGATGTTACTTTCATTATTTGTAGTTTATGTAGTTTAAAACTAATGTAAAGTATACAACTCATATGGAAATACATTTTCTCAAAAACAACAACAACAACAAATTAATGTCACATGTAAGGCTAAAGCTTCATTGGACCCACCTTTGCTCTCACCCTGCTCCTCCCCTGAGTTTATGACCATGGCTAATAACATGGCCAAGAGTTTGAGAAGCACCCATTTAAATAGTTTTATAAACATATGTAGCCATAGGAAAATATAGGAAATAGTACACACCCTGTTCATAAGTATTACTTTCATAATCAGAGAAGTGTGTTTACTGACTCACTCAACCAATATTTGTTCAGGGCCTATTTTATTGGAGGCACTATTCCAATCTCAGGGAATTCAGCAGTAAAGAAACCAGAGTCTGCCCTCAGGGAACTTCCAATCTGGTGGAGTCAGAAAAGATGGTCAATAAAAAGTAATTCCCAAGTAAATATATATTTTAGATGAAGACAAGTACTATAGAGGAAAATAAACCAAGTATAAGAAGAGCTGGTTGATAACAAGGAAAAGGTAATTTTAAATTGGGTGGGGGAGACTCCCTGGAAGATGCAGCAAGATGAGAACTGGGCCTTCAAGGTCTTCTTGTTGAGCAGAACCACAGAGGCCTATGTCGGAGTGGGATGTCCACAACCAGGACAATGACTTGGGCCAGGTGGTAACTTAGGAGGTGTTGGAGGGGTGCAGGTGTCTCTCTGTGCCCCATGTAAGGCTGTCATGAGGTCCAACACTCTCCCAGGGCTGTCCCTGGAAAGTGAATCCACAGAATGTTTGACTACCACCCACCCGCTGCAACAAGTAATCAAGTTCCTGCTAAGAAAATTGAGTGGTTGAGTCACTCAAGCCAATAATACATGAAGGAACTCAACCTGAGAGCCAAACCTAGATCACAGAATAATTTCAAAGCCATGGAACAAAGGTCTGTCAGGCATGCTGACCACTCAGGTAGGCTGGCACTGAGGCCAGCAGCAAAGCCCAAGTCTCTAGGGCCCCCAGTGATAGCAGGAGAAGTCATTTAATTGCACCAACTGCATACTGACCATCATATAAAACTGACCTCATTAAATCCCACAGATGCTGTAAGGCATGGATACTGGTCCCGTCTTACAGATGAACACAACCGAATATAAAACTGACCTCATTAAATCCCACAGATGCTCTAAGGTACTGATACTGGTCCCATCTTACAGATGAACACAACTGACTCCTTACATTAGTTTCCTGTTGCTGCTATAACAAATTACCCCAAACTTCATGGCTTAAAACAGCATGAATGCATTCTATTACAGTTCTAAGACCAGAAATCTGAAATGGGTCTCAGTGGGCTAAGATCAGGGTGCTGGCAGGGCAGCACTCTCTCGGGAGGCTCTTGAGGAGAATCTGTTTTCTTGTCTCCCCCAGCTTTTGGGGTTCACCCCCTTTCCCAGAGCCCCAGCATCATGGCTCCCCTTCTCTCCCTGCTTCTGTTATCACATTGTTTTCTTCCTCTTCTGTAGGAAGAAATCTAAATCTCCCTCCACCTCCCTCTTATAAGGACACTTGTAATTACATTTAAGAAACTCCCCGATAATCCAGGGTCATCCTCCCATCTCAAGATCCTTAACATAATCATACCTGCAAAGTTTTCTTTTGCCGTGTAAGATGACATTCACAGGTTCCACGGATGAGGACACAGGCATGCCTGGGGACCATCATTCAGTCAACCACACTGACTCACATGGTTTCCCCAGGAACCTGGCCCCCTCATTTGGTTCATCCCCAAGGTCTTTCACTCCACAGGACCCCAGAGGCTGCTATTTCCACCAACCTGTAGCCTACTGAGACCAAAACAAGTCCAGTCCAAGCTCTTAACCAGGTGTGACTGCCCTGAGGGTTGGGTTCTCTGACCTATACATAGTGTTAGGTATATAATATGTACTCAATGAACACCTATGAAAGACAAGAGAGAAGAGAGTTTGTTCCCTAGCCCAGCTTCAGTGCTTTTAGTTATTAGGAAAAATATCTCCAAATCTGAGGTGTCCAGGGCCCTCATTTTGGGCCTACAGAATGGATGATCTTGCCATTATCTTTCTCATCTCTCCTGGTTATGCAGAATCAATTTTAAGACTTGCTTAGATTTGGACTCTTTCACTTTGGCAAACCTGCTCCTATTGTATCAAGTAAGATAAAATTAAGTATAATTGTATATATTTAATGTACCTCCCATATTAATATCATCCACATAAACCTCCATGAAAGCTGAGTTGCATTTGACTATTTAACATGAGGTTATATTTTGTAAATATTTAGTGCAGCATTAATTTTGATTGTGTACTTTTCTTCTTATATACAGTTTTCTCAGGTCTCTGACACTTTCTTTGGTCCTTATAGAGAATGGGGGCCCTGGATTCTGTGAATGCAGTGGATACATCTTGAAGATCATGGCCCTTCATGCAATATTTAGCTGAAAACTATGAGCTTCATGTCATGGGTGCTATGAATCTCATGCTACTCCAGTTCATGGTGTCCCTCCCATTGGAAGCTCTCAACACCCCACAGCTGAAAACGCAAGGAGAAAAGGATGAGTGCTCAGTGTCAGGAGGTGAGGTGGCTGGAGCCTCAGTGCTTCAAGTTGAGTCACTGCCTGGCCTGCCCCTGGTCTGGCAGAGCAGGCCATGCCCTGACTGTCCTGGGCCAACATGCATGCCCCAGACTGGACTGGGTAGTGAGGGGGCAGCCTGGAATGGTGGGGAGCATGCTGAAGCAAAACAAGAACCCCCAGTGGGATGTTCATGAGAAGGAGGCAGACACCCCCCACCCCAAAGCCTGTCCATTGCAGTCCAGTCCCAATGGTCTACAGGAGTGGTCCCCAACCTTTTTGGCACCAGGGCCCAGTTTTGTGGAAGACAATTTTTCCACAGACCAGGGTGGGGTGATGGTTTCGAGGTGAAACCATCAGATCATCAGGCATTAGATTCTCATAAAGAGCAGGCAACCTAGATCCCTCACATGCGCAGTTCATAATAGGGTTTGTGCTCCTCTGAGAATCTAATGCTGCCACTGATCTGATAGGAGGCAGAGCTCAGGCAGTAATGCTCGCTTGCCCACTGCTCACCTCCTGCTGTGCGGCCCAGTTCCTAACAGGCCACAGACTGGTACTGGTGTGGTATGGGAGTCGGGGACTCCTGGTCTAGAGGCAGCCAAGCCCTTACTAGAAAACCTAGCCACACTGCATCAGACATAGGTACCAGCCAGGCCTCCTCAGCCTAAGACCATGTAGCCAAGGGCACAGGAAGAAGTCTTTCACTGGGTCAGCAGCACAGGCCTTGTAGCTGGGTGAGTTCTGGGACCCCAGAAAAGTGACTGTCTGCCTCCCTGCGCCCTAGCTTGTCTATTCATGATAGTAGCATCATCTCGCTCATTGCTGTATCCTCAATACCTCCATGAACAATCTTCACGACAGCCCCACCAGGGAAGTGCTACTTGCCCACTTTACAGACAATGAAACCAAGGCTCAGAAAGGTTAAGTGCTATGCCCAGGTCACTGGAGAGTAGGTGATAAGGCCAGGATTGGATTTCCAGTTATTCAGACTTGCCTGGCCCTTTCTTGGTGGGCAGGGTCTGTTGAGAAAACATCAGCCAGAAGGAAGGAAAGAAGGTGTTCTGGAGTGCAACAGGGGCACTCAGGCCGAACAAAGACTGGATGTCATGTCTCAGGAGGGCTTCCCTCCAGAGCTTCCGGGCAGAGTGCAGAGAAGGGAGAGACTGCCTTTTCAGGCAACCGTGGCCAGGGAGCTCCACTCCTGTAAATTGTGCTAAATCCAATGGCTAGTGTCCTCAGGAAGGACGGGGAGATCTGACACACAGAGACTCAGAGGGGAGGCTATATGAAGACAGGCAGGGCCTAGAGTTACGGAGCCACTGCCCAAGGAGTGCCAAGCACTGCAGCAGGCACTGGAAGCTGGTAGAGGACCATGTGGCAGGTTCTCCCTCAGAGCCTCCAGAAGGCACCAACACCTTGGTTTTGAACTTCCTGTTTCCTGACTTGTGAGGAAATAAATTTCTACTGTTTTAAGCCACCCAGTTTGTGGTTGTTTGTTACAGCAGCCCAAAGAAACTAATCCATACCCTCAAATTTTTATCATTAAATCTCTCACACCCAACAGTGACTTGTTACCAACTTATATTAAGTCAGCCTGGGTTTTAGAGAAACAATAGCCCTTTTCCTTGCCGAGATGCTGGGCCTGTGGCAGGCAGTTCCACGGTCAGTGACTGAGCATGCCACCTGGAGAATGCTTGTTCATCTTTTGAGGTGTCCCACTGACCGCCAAAGAGAAATTTATAAATACCATTTAAATCAGAGAATTGAAAGCACATTCTCCAACTTTGGTGAAAATCTTCCCGGACATTGTCACATGATGTGGTAACTGAGCAAAACTTAACATATATTGAATGATGTTGATAAAAATAGCAGCTACCAATTTTGAATCCCTACTGAGTACCAGAAACAATGCTTATAATCTTATACTGACCCTGTAAGCCAAGGATTCATATCGTGTTTAACAGAAGGCTATACAAGCAGGAAATGGCAAACACAGGATTCACACCTAGAGCCTGTGTGGTTCCAAAGCCCATGCTTTCCGGCTTGGCCATGCTGCCTCCCCACTGACCCATTCCTGTGAATTGGTTTGTTGAATGATCCCTGGAGGAGACACACTGGGAATGACTGAGGTGAGTTTGGGAGGGTGAGAATCGCCAGGAACAACCAGCACTCTCATGGAGACATTAGGGAGTGCATCTGAGTCCTCCAGGTCTCCCCAAGGCCCAGCCCTGGAGAGGTATGCAGCAGGCAGCTTGAACTTGGCTGAGGTCCAAGATGGCCACTCATTCAGCAGGTGCTTATCCAGGGAGGCTGTGCCCAGTCTGTGCTGAGCTGCATTCTGAACAGGAGAGAATCAGAGGCCACAGGCTAGGGAACCCAGGCCTGGGCAAGGTAACCAGCCAGCTCTCGTGGAGGGTAGAGGGCTCAGTGGGCAGCTACCACAGAGGTAGGAAAGGTTTCTGAGGACCTGACTTGGCTCTGGACAGCCCTGGGGAGTCCAGACATGGGCCCTAACTCTGGGCAGCCATGGCTCAGCCTTGATAGGCTAGTAAGTTCATTTCAGACATGAACTTGCTGCACAGCCCTCCTTGGTGGGCTCTGAGATCCAGGGCCTGGGTGTGCAGGGCTGGCAGGAGGCAGGCAGCAAGGCCCCTAGCACACTCTGCAATCCCATTCTCCCTGGGCCTCTCCCAGCACCTGCACCACACCACTTGCTCAGCTCACTATGTGCACCATACACACACTGGCCTTCTTTGTTTTCCTGGAGAATGTACATCGCAGCCTGTTCCCACCCTTGGGCCTCTGCACTAGCTTGTCCCTCTGTGAGTAGCACTCTGACCCCAGTTCTGCACGTCTGGCTCTTTGTAACATTTGAGTCTCATCTTAGCTGCCTCCCTGGCAGAGAGGCCATCCCTGACTCTGCAAAATAGAGAAGGCTCTTGTCACTGTCTTTGCCATCACCTTGTGTGTCCCCCTAGCACCTATCACTGTCCATAAATGTTTTGTGCATCTGTTGTGTTCCCTAATTATTGTCCACCAGTGTCCTAAAAATATCTATATCCTTGCCTGCCTCCCTCACTCCTAAGTTGTCAAAGCCTAGGTCAGCCTGGAAGTAAAGTCTACTTTGGAGCTTTGAATCCAGCACTACAATGCCCTGCTCTGAGATCTGGGGCAGGATCCTGAACTCTGCACTTTACTCTCCTCCTGTATAAAATGGGAAGATTATACCATTCCAGGAGGGTCGACTAAGCCTGCTTCACTCACCACTTTGTGTGCCCATCTCCCAGCACTGGGTCCTGCCTGCCATCCCCCTGCATTGGGACATCCCCTGGGGAGCCTAAATGCCCCCTTTTACTACTTACTTAAAGTGTTTCTTCAAATATTTAAAACAGGTAGGCTGATCTTCCCATCAAGAAGAGGGTGAACATGGACCCTGACCTAGGAGAGGGTCCATTTTCATACAGGAAGCAAGATGGGGAGAAAGGACATTGCAGCAGCCATTTGAAAAGGGCCTGTGAGGCTCCTCTCTGTGCACAATCCAGGCAGAGCTTTAGAAACGGATCTGGAAGCCAGTCAGCAGTGAGGAGGCACAATTTATGGCTCCGTTCCCAGAGCATAGCTCTAAGTTCTGCTTACCACTGGGGACTGGTGCAGGGGTGGGGATGGGGTGAAAGATTGCTCCTTTGCAGTATCTCACACCTCAGTTTTTAACTTGTTGTATGATCTGAGATAAGCCCCTTCCCCTTTCTAGGGAACATCCCAGAAGAAGGGGCTTGGATAATTCCAATGCCAGGAAGGCCCCACCAGCTCCAGAATCCTCACACCTATGTGCTTCATCAGGTAATGATGGGTTCCCATCTCCAATCTAGTTCTCAAGTTCTACCTGGACCTCTGAGTGTTTCGAGTCTAAATCAGACCTCCTGGCACTCCCCTCCCCCGGGCTGGCAACAGAGAGTCTGCCCTGGGCAGAAGACTCTCTGGGAGATCAGAAACAGCAGGCATAGTCCCAGAGGCAGGTCAGCTCCATGCCTCTTTTTAAGAGGAAATGAGAAACATGGCTACTGTACCTTGACCGTGTCCAGAGGGTGGCCGACGATGACACTGGCTGCACCTGTGGATCAAAAAAGAATGCCTGGTAACTCAGCCCTTGGACTCCTGGCTTGCACCAGCCAGTTCTTGGGACAAAATAGTCACTCAGTTAGTCAATGGTCAGTTGCTGGGGTAGGGGGAGTGGGTGGGCTCCAATGTTTTAGGCACTGGCCCATGCACCAAGGAAGGCAGAGAAAATAGAGTAAAACAAGTAATCGCTCCATAAAAGGGAGGCAAAGGGACTGGAACAAGTAGATATTCACAGGCAAAAGAGTGAAAGAGTGGAGATAGACACCCTACCTCATACCATACACAAAATTAACTCAAAATAGATCAAAGATCTAAATGGGAGAGCAAAGCGATAAGATTCTTAAACTAAAACACAGAAAAAAAATCTTGACCTGTGATTTGCAATGGACTCTTAGATATGATAGCAGTGGACTCTTAGATATGATAGCAAGGGTACGACTAACTGAAGGAGTGGAGGACATGCCACACCAAAATATAGCAAATGGGTATATTGATTATTTCAAGTTGAAAACATTGAGAAATCATAACTTCTGAAAGGGTGAACTGACCTGCCTCTTCCTGCATGCAGCAAACAATAAAGATTCCTCTGGGAGGGATACCCTCTCCATACCAGGGTAAGAAAATAGCCCTTATTAGCCGGGATTCGGAATTGAAGGCTGCAATGGCCCTGAATTCATACTTAATGAAGCAATCCTTATATTCCACCTGTTTTATACCCCCCACCCATACTTCTAGTGACTCCTCTAGCAAAATTCCACCACCCTAGCCAGATTTTCTTTGTCCTGCCATTTCTTCTCACATTGATCACTCTTTGTTTAAAAAGTATGAAAAGACCTTGTGTTGGCCACTTCTCCCGACTTCACTCTCTTGGCAAGATCCCTATGTCATGAAAAACTAATAAAATCTGTATTATTTTTCTCTTGTTAACCAGCCCGGTGTCAATTTTGTTTTTATATTCAGGTGAAGAGACCAGTAGGAGCTAAACAGGGGGTCAGAGGTTATCTCTAACTCCCCTACACAACACAAGAAATAATAACATTCATAAAAATTGAAAACTTTTGCACACAAAAGTGAAGACATCCTATGGAATGGGAGAAAATGTGTGGAAATCACATATTTGGTAAGAATTTAGTGTCCATATATAGAAATAACTCTTACAACTGAATAATTTTAATGGGCAAAGGACTTGCACACACATTTCTCCAAAGATGATATACAGATGACCAACAGACACGTGAACAGAGGCTCAACATCTGTAGTCATTTGGGAAATGCAAATTAAAACCACGATGAGAGTCCTCTTCACACGCACTAGGATAGCTATAATTGAAAAAAAGTGGGAAAGAACTGTTGGCAAGGATGTAGAGAAACTGGAACTCTTGTACGTTGCTTGTAGAAATGTAAAATGGTGCAGCTATGGTGGAAACAGTTTGGTAATTCCTCAAAAAAGCTAAACACAGAGCTACAACCTAACCCAACAATTCAATTCCTACATATATACCCAATAACAGAAAACAGATACTCAGACAAGTACAAGTACACACACATCATGGCAACATTGTTCACAATAGCCAAAAGGTGGAAATAATCCAATTATCCATCAACTGGTGTATGAATAAAGAAAATGTGGGATATTTATACAGAGGAATACTGTTTGGCAATAAAAAGAAACAAACTATTGATGCATGCTACAGCATAGAGGCACCTCCAAAACATTATGCTAAATGTAAAAAGCCAGACATAAAAGGCAAGGTATTGTATGACTCTACCTATATGAATTATCCAGAATAGGTAAATCCTTAAAGACAGAAAGTAAATTAGTGGTTGCCAGGACTGGGAAGAGGTGGAAATGGGAGTGATTCTTGAAGGGTACAGCATCTTCTTTGGTCACGAGAAAAATGTTTTGGAACTAGACAGAAGTGACAGCTGCACAGTGTTGTGAATGTAATAAATGCCACTGAATTATACACTTTCAAATGGTTAATTTTCTATTATATGAATTTCCGCTCAAAAAGTGGGGCAGGATATGTGTAAAGAAAAGACCTGAAAACTTTCAGTTACCTGCAGGTTACTTAACTTCTCTATGTCTCACTTTTAGCATGCATAGAGTGGGATTAATAACGGCACCTATCTCCTGCTTCCATGGTAAGAATGAAATTCAGTAATGCATATAAAATACCTAGCAGAGAGCCTGACACCTACAGGATACTCAAATGTGAGTAATGTCACCATAGAATTTTTTAAAAAGAAGACCCATTTGGAAAAGTGATGAATACACTGTATCTTTTCACAGAAAAAATACCTACACAAACACACACTCACAAGACTTGTACAATTTGAAGAGAACCAAGGCTGCCCCAAGGCCACTTAGATTAAGAAGCCCTTTGTATTAGTTTGTTCTCATGCTACTATCAAAGACATATACAAGCCTGGGTAATTTATAAAGGAAAGAGGTTTAATCAACTTACAGCTCCACATGGCTGGGGAGGCCACACAATCATGGTGGAAGGTGAAGGAGGAGCAGGTCATGTCTTATATGGCAGCAGGCAAAAAGAGAGCTTGGGGAACACCCCTTTATAAAGCCATCAGGTCTCATGAGACTCATTCACTACCATAAGAACAGCACAGGAAAACTCGCCCCCATGATTCAATTACCTCCCACTCAGTCTTTCCCATGATACATGGGTCTCTTCCATGACACATTACGGGAGCTACAATTCAAGATGAGATTTGGGTGAGGACACAGCCAAACTACATTATTCCACTACTGGCCCCTCCCAAATCTCATGTCCTCACATTTCAAAACCAATCATGCTTTCTCAGTGGCCTCCCAAAGTCTTAACTCATTTCGGCATTAACTCAAAAGTCTACAGTCCAAAGTCTCATCAGACAAGGCAAGTCCCTTCCACTTATGAGCCTATAAAATCAAAAGCAAGTTACTTTGAGCCTGTAAAATCAAAAGCAAGTTACTCTGAGCCTGTAAAATCAAAAGCAAGTTTCTAGAAAGTTACTTTCTAGAAACAATGGGGGCACAGGCATTGGGTAAATACACCTGTTCCAAATGGGAAAAATTGGCCAAAACAAAGGGGCTACAGGCTCCATGCAAGTCCAAAATCCAATGGGGTAACCAAATCTTAAAGCTCTGAAATGATCTCCTTTGTCTCCATGTTTCATATCCAGGTCATGCTAATGCAAGAGGTGAGTTCCCATGGTCTTGGGCAGCTCCATCTTGTGGTTTTGCAGGGTACAGCCTTCCTCCCAGCTGCTGGCATGAGTGTCACCCACAAGTTAGCAAATGCTAACAACATAGCTGATCTGCATGCACTGCTGCAGAGGAAAGTGCTCTGAGAGGTACAACCGGTGAAGGAACTGAGGGAGAAAGGAAATGGGGTTTCTTTTTTAAAAAATAATTTTATAAAAAATTATAATGCCCATGAGGCTGGCAATGAGTGCCTGTGGCTTTTCCAGGTGCATGGTGCAAGCTGTCAGTGGATCTACCATTCTGGGGTCTGGAGGATTGCGGCTGTCTTCTCACAGCTCTACTATGCATTGCCCCAGTGGGGACTCTGTGTGGGGCTCCCACCCCACATTTCCCATACACACTGCCCTAGCAGAGGTTCTCCATAAGGGCCCCACCCCTGCAGCAAACTGCAGCAAACTTCTGCCTGGACATCAAGGCATTTTCACACATCCTCTGAAATCTAGTGGAGGTTCCCAAAGCTCAATTCTTGACTTCTATCCACATGCAGGCTCAATACCATGTGTAAGCTGCCAAGGCTTGGGGCTTGCATCCTCTAAAGCCACAGCCCAAGCTGTACATTGGCCCCTTTTAGCCATGGCTGGAGTGGCTGGGACACAGAGCACCAAGTCCCTAGGTTGCACAGAGCAGGGGGGCCCTGGGCCCAGCCCAGGAAACAATTTTTTCCTCCTAGGCCTCTGGGTCTGTGATGGGAGGGCCTGTCGCCAAGGTCTCTGACATGCCCTGGAGATATTTACCCCACTGTCTTGGTGATTAACATTTATTTCCTTGTTATTTATGCAAATTTCTGCAGCAGGCTTGAATTTCTCCCCAGAAAATGGGTTCTTATTTTCTATGGCATAATTAGGCTGCAAATTTTCCCAGCTTTTATGATCTGCTTCCCTTTTAAACATAAGTTCCAATTCCAAACCATATCTTTGTGAATACATAAAATTGAATGCTTTTAGAAATCACCTCTTGAATGCCTTGCTGCTTAGTAATTTCTTCCACCAGATACCCTAAATCATCTCTCTCAAGTTCAAAGTTCTACAGATCTCTAAGGCAGGGGCAAAATGCCACCAGTCTCTTTGCGAAAACATAGTAAGAGTCACCTTTATTCTAGTTCCCAACAAGTTCCTCATCTCCATCTGAGACCATCTTAACCAGGACTTCATTATCCATATCACTATCAGCATTTTGGTTAAAACCATTCAACAAGTCTCCAGGAAGTTCCAAACTTTTCCACATTTTTCTGTCTTCTTCTGAGCCCTTCAAACTGTTCCAACATCTGCCTGTTACCCAGTTCCAAAGTTGCTTCCACATTTTCCGGTATCTTTACAGAAATGCCCCACTCTACTGGTACCAACTTATTGTATTAGTCCATTCTCATTCTGCTAATAAAGACATTACTGAGACTGGGTAAATTATAAAGGAAAGAGGTTTAATTGACTCACAGTTCTACATGGCTGGGGAGGCCACACAATAATGGTAGAAGGTTAAAGAGGAGCAAAGTCACATCTTACATGGTGCCAGGCAAAAAGAGAGCTTGTGTAGGGAACTTCCCTTTATAAAGCCATTGGATCTCATGAGACTTATCCACTAGCATGAGAACAGCATGGGAAAGCCTATACCCATGATTCAATTACCTCCCACAGGGGTCCCTCCCGTGACACATGGAATTATGGGAGCTACAATTCAAGATGACATTTGGGTGGGGAAACAGCTAAACCATATCAGCCTTGTTGTAGCAGTTGGTGACTGAAATTGAAAGGGAAACTGTTCTTCAAAGACAAATTGCCAAGCACACTGATGAAGAAGGAAATATCTGCATTAGTAGAGGTGATTTAACCAGGTAAGGTAGCTAAGGGCTCCTGGACTATGAGATATTTTTAGGGACAAAGAAACCAGCTAATCCCAGAACAATGAGTCCCTGGGTCCAAAACCACCTGTCCCCTCTCATGCCCTGCGACCTACTAAACTGGGCGGAGGCAGAGAGGTGGTAGCAGCAATTGACCCTTCCCAATAGTGGGGGGAGGAGCGCTGGTCCCAGGCTCCATGGCTTCCTCCATAGTGAGTGCACACATCCTTCAGCTCAGAGCAGGCTTAGATCCAGCCTTGAGCCAACATCTCCCTGCCACCCATTTGAAAGCAGGGGATTTGAGATTTAAAAAATGGAATTATGAGGTCAGTGGTTTCCAGACCTTTGCACTTCACAAACCAGTAAAATCTCACACAAAATGTGTATGTGTGTGGGGGTAATATAAAAAAAAGGGCAACATTTTGTTATGTAAGTTTGTTTGGAAAGAGTTAAGATGAAATTAAGATGGCAGATTCTGGTGCCAGGCAGCCTGGGTTGGAATCTTAGTGCCAATGCTAGATGCATGGTCTTAGGTAAGTCAGTGAATTTCTCTGTATCTCAATTTCCTCATCTGTAAAATAAGGATGCAACGGTACCTGCCTCTTTGGGGTTGTTACAATAACTAAAGAACTATACATAAACTGACACAAGCGATCACATATTGCAAGATTCAATTGACATAACATATCCAGGAAAGGCAAATTTATAGCAAGGAGATTAAGGAGAGGGAACAGCATTCAACTTCAAATGAGGGATCTTACTGGGGGAGGGATGAAAACGTTCTAAAACAAATTTATGGTGATGGCTGCACCACTGTAAAATTACTAAAAGGCATTGAATTGTATATTTGAAATGGGTGAATTTTATAATATGTACAATAAACCTTGATAAAATTATTTTAAAAGAATACATATAGCACTTAAACAATACCTGGCACCTAGCTAGTAAGTATTCAAGTGTAGTAAACACTTATCATCATTTTATGGAAGCCAAAAAAAAAAGGCATGTTATTAGTTTGGTGCAAAAGTAATTGCGATTTTTGCCATTACTTTCAATAACATCACCAAAGTAAGGACAATACCAGAATAACGCACAAAAATCCCCTACTTGCTGTGAGTTGGGGAGGGTTCGCGTGTTATCACGTTTGGGGGTGGGGAGGGGTATCAGAGTCTTGGAACTACTCTGACTCAGCCCTACCTTCCAGGGCATTTCTCAAACCAAGCCATTTGCATCCCTACTGAAGGTGGTCTGCTTATTTAAGGGGCAGCCCACAGAAGTGTCTCCACTCTCTGCCTGCCCCGCTGAATGGTGGAATAATGTCCAGTCAAAAGGGGCCTGGATATGCCAGGGGACCGCAGCCCCCTGGCTGGGACAGTTAGGAGAGGCGGGTCTCAGCCCCACCCAAGGGCATCTATGCCAGCAGACTTACTCAATGTGAAAGGAGCCACCTCTGCTCAGGAAGGTGTGAAGCAGGGCTCTGCAGCCACCGGTGGGGGTAGAGAGGTGGTCTCCTGCTAGGTAGGAGGGGAGGAGTTAGGATCCAATCTGGTTTGTTTTTCTTTTCATCTTATTATCTTTTTCCCCCCTTTGGTGAGGGGCTACATTTGCCAACATCCCTTTTAGGATAACCCTTTTAGATGGGTCAAAAGAAAGACTTTTTATTTGATTTTATTACCATTAGCAAAGTCCCTCAAACTTCCCCCTTTCCTAATAGCTGAGAAAAGAGGGATAGACCTATTGGAAAGAAAAATGGAGAAGCAAGGAAATGAATGCAACTTTCGCCCAGGCAACCCATCCCAGGCCCAGTAAAAATGTGGCTCCGGGAGCTGTGGCGAAGGGACCAGTAGACCCAAGAGTACCCAGAGAAGGTGCCTTGGAGGTAGGCGATGGCTGACGGCTGGCGGCGGCTGAAGGCAGTTAAGTGCTCCTTGCAGCCTGACAATGAGCACCTGCAGCCGGCGCTCCGCTCCCTGCTGTGAGAGCTCCGCTCCTTCCAGTCGGGACGCCCTCTAGGGCCGGCCTGATCTCGAAGCCTGGCTCCCCACGACCCTGCGCCCCGCAGTCAGCAGGCAAGCGCCACCCTCATACATAAGTTCCCGCGAGTCACGTCCGCAATTCAGGTGTGCACCAGGTCACTGAAGGGTGTGTGCGCCGCTAGGAGCCTCCATTGGCTGTGGGCTTTGACCAGCTGTTTAATCATTACTGTATCAAGTCCCACGGTTCCTAACTTAATGAGCAAAGCAGAAGCTCAGCCCGAATCGCTGTGAAGCTCTAGAATTTAGCCCTGGCAATTGCCAGACCACCAGGGGGATCTCGGGGCCGGGCACTCCCCAAAGCAGGCTGCGCGCGCAACGGGGAGCGGGATGGGCGCGCACCGAGGCGCAAAGTTTCCTCAGAGCACTGCGGCAAACTCCACCAGGCTCGCTCGCTCTGACCGGGGGTCCCGGGTAAGCACGCTCACCTCCGATCCAGCCCGCCGCAAAGTCTTCCAGCTGGAGGCTTCCCATGGCCGGTGCTCCGGTCTCGCCCTCCCGGAGTCGGGGCAGTGCTCACTTAGGGTCAGTGGGGCATGGCCCGCGGGCGCTAGCGCGCCGCAACACCAAAGTCGGAGTCTCCAGCACGCCGCAGGTCCTTCTCCAAACCCAGCCCCCGAGTCACCCGCTGCGCGGGCTGCCGCGCTCACCTCTCCAAGTGCCGGAGGGCGGCTGACATCACGCCCCCAGTGGACCTTAAAGGCACAGCACTCTGGGTAGTTAAGGGTGCGCTCCGCGCGGCTCATCCCAGACCCAAAAAGGCAAGGGTCATCAAGTGAAATTCTTAGTCCTTCCTTCTCCGGGTCCCTTCCTTGCCAACTTAAGAGCCTCGGCGCCTTTGAAGTGAAAGTGCCAGCCGCCCATCCAGAGATGGCATTTAGTGGCGTTGCTCCTATCTCCCTGTGCTGTGCTGACAATGCTGATTCCAATCAGCGGTGGACTCTCTCCCATCCCAAGGCTGGGCAGTGATGCCTTTTTGTTCATCCCAGACATGTCCCACTCAGTGCCCCGTGTCTAGAGCAAGCACCTGGTGGTTCAGGGTCATGTCTAACTTTCAGCTACAGCTCTCTAGGGGCCCAGCTCCCTGCCTGGCCCTGGCTCAGCCTACACTGTCCGCCCTGGGCCAACAGAAGGTGGTGCTCTCTACCTCAAACTCCCTCTCTGTAGTCAGACCCTACATTCAGCCAGGCCCCAGGCCAGAGGCCCATGCTCACTGGAGAAGTGGCCTGTTGTGTGGAGAGGCTTTTGTTTCAACGAGAGTTTCTTTCCTCCCCTCCTAAGAAGACTCGAAGCCACCCAGCATTCCGCTAGTTTCCAGCAGGGACTCAGCTGTGGGTCTCAGCCAAGATACCCCAACGTTGACAAGAATGGTGGAGGGTATGGTCAGGAGCAAGGGGCCTCTGCTGGGCCTGCTGTTGTCCCCCTGGACATATCCATGTCACGTCATCCAGGTTAATATGCAGGGACAGTCAGCTAGATCTCCTTCTTCCAAAGCAAGACAGCCTGACCACCAAAGCTTGATCCTACAAAGGCCTGTCCACTGAGAAGTGGGGACTTGGAGGTGAAGGGCGCTTCCTGCAGCATTGCTCCCTCCCCTGCCCGGGCACACAGAGAGTGGACCTGTGTCTGGAGAGGACAGCCCGGGATGGAGTCGCCCGCCTGGCTGGGGAAGTATTGCAAAGTTCCAGGGAGGAGTGGAACCATCATACTCCATCTCTGCACCTCAGCTTCCTGCTGTGCATGGTGACGCACTCAATCTTGAGGCTTCAGAGTTACCGTCAGCATCAACCCGAAGCTGTGCCCTGCCATACCCGGGATATATGCCTAGGGCCGCTATGAGAAATGCAGGTCTCTGAAGAGTGGCCCTTTAGTGAGTTCACCATTGGAATGCATCCACAAGTGGAAAGCCTGCCAATTCTCAAAACCTACTCCTTTGGAAGACCACCTAAGGGGTGCCAGGCAGATTGTCCCCTCAGTCCTGTGTCAGCACCAATTGAGGAGGTCTTAAGTTGTCAGGCAGTGTCCCTGGCAGTCCCAGGATGGCCTCCCAGGCCCAGAAAGCTGCTGCTTGAACTGCTAATGAGTTGGAGCAGAGCAGAAGGAGTGGGTCACTTTCCAAAATGAATTACTGCACTCCATTCCCAAATACGTGCCACAAACCTGCCCATGGGGCGCATCACCCAGGGAAGTGCAGGGAGGACCCTAGGTTTACCAGCAACCGTGGCCAGGCCTGGAGAATCCCAGACTACAGGGCTATGAGCCCAGGCCGAATGCTGGCTCTGTGGCCGGGATCTAGGCCCTCCCTTCTTCCTGGCCTTTGCACTTCAGAGCACCACTTGCAGTGTGCTGCCGTTCACATTTGCATTCTACACTCGGGAGAGGGCAGGGCAGCTACTGGCCATTACACAGAGAAAGAAACTTCACAGAGAAATCCACTCCCTGTGTGACTAGGGCCAGAAAGCAACCCCATTTCCTCTCTCCCTCAGTTCCTTCCCCAATGATGACCTCTCAGAGCACTTTCCTCTGTAGTGGGACATGCAAATGGGCTATGCTGATAGCATTTGTTAACTAGTGGCCCACTCATCATTTCTTATTGACCCTTTCAGGCCACAGAAATTTCCTGAGCACCAGTCTGTGCTGGTGCCTTGCTTTTGGGAAAGTCTCTGAGAGGAGACAGTCCGTCTGAGATGCTACACAGAGGTGGCTGTAAGAGCACTGGAGAGAGAGTCCATTGTTCTCCAGGAAGCAATCAGGCAAGGCTCTCCAAACCTGGAGTCTCCTGGCTGCACCTTTGGTCTACAGAGCTCCACAGCTCCCACCTCCCCAGCCACTCTCTCAGGCAAGCCAACAATCCCCTCCCCGTGTCCACCTGCCACACTTGGGCAGCAAAGGCCTGGGCCAGCTGTGCATGCCTGACCTGCTGCAGTGAAGGCCCTGCCCATGCCGCCTGCTCCCCTGTGCTTCCGGATTCCTGCCCTCACCCAGCTTTCCTCCCACTTCTCCAGCTGTTCTCATCTTCTTCCCTGCTGCCTTGGCCCCTTCTTATGCTTAGGTGTGGATTCCTCAGGGCCCCATCTGGACCCTCACCTACCCGCACCTCCCATCTCTTAGCGTATAACCCCCACACCTCGCTTCTGACTCCAGACGTCCCTCCACTCAACACCTCCACCTGGGTGGCTCAGGTCACCTTAGCGCATCCCTCGATGAACTCTCTCTTCCTCCTCCAGTGCCTCTTCAACTTAGAGAAACACACCTCCACCCAGTGGCCACCCAAAACAGAACCTTGGATGCCATCCTCCATTCCTCTCTCCCAAGGTCTTATCCCACCAGCCACAAAGTCCTGAGTGTCTATCCCCTCAATGACACCCAGACCTCACTGGTGTCTCCGAATGTGGCTCAGCCCAGGCCTGTGCCACTGCCCTGCCTGGATCACAGTGGACACGGGTTCCTGGGTTCCTCTGCCCCAGTCCTATATCCACCCTCCAGCTGCTGTCCCAGTGAGCTTCTGAAATCTTGAATCTGCTCAGTTTAGTGACCTTTGATGACTTTCTGTGATCTTGAGCATAAATTCCAGTTTCCCAGTGTGTTGTGTGTAGCTCTGTGAGACTGGGTCTGGCTACCTTTCCAGTTCTCACCTCAATGTCCCACATTCTGTGCATGTGTGTGACTGTGCATGTGCTATTCCCTTGCGGGGAACACTTTCTCCCTCCTTCTCCCCTGGCTGACCCCTGCCCGCTTCTTAAGACTCAGCTCAGCTGTCGCCTTCTCCTGACAGGCCTTGCTTGAAGGCCTTCCTCATCACCCTATGCCACATGGGATCTGCTAGCTCTCATCTGTGTTTCTGAATATTCTGAGCATATCTGTATCACTGCTGTCAGACTCAACGGTTGATAATCTGTCTTCCCATCCAGACTGTGAGTCCACTGAGAAGAGGGTACTGCCTCATTCTGCACTGGACCTGCAGAGCCTGGCACAGTCCTGGTGGGTAGTCACTGCTCAGTCAGCTGGGCCTTAAATGGGGAGATATGGGGAAAAGTCTGAAGGTCCTGCCGGTGGCTGGCAGACAAGGAGGGTGTCTGGGTACAAGACAGAGCTGAAGAGATGGCAACATCACTCCCGGCTATGAGGATTCCCCCTGGCCTTTCCTGGAGCATCACAGAAGCCCGGCTTCTTTCAGGCCCTCAAAGGTACCAGCCACATTTCCCCACAGAGCTTTTGCACTGACCACTCCCTCTGCCTGCAGCTCCCTCTCCCTGCCCTTCTCATAGCCAACTCCTACCTCCTTCAGATCTATGCCAAAGCGTCTTCTGCATGAGGAGGCCTCCCCAGTCCCCTCACGGGAGGTCAAGACCTCGTTGCCCTCTCTCAAGGCACCTCTGCTTCTTTTTCCAACTCTCACCATGCCGCTCAGTCCTTGTGCGATGCTTGGTTGCTGCAGGAAGATAGATAAGACCTGTCTGACCTATCTGCCACCATGACATTCTCGGGCTCTACCACAGAGCAGGCAGACAACAATTACTCAGGACTGAGTTCAAAGGATTAATGAAACGGGAACGCAGGTTTGTGCTGTCTTTCTTCTTTGAGCGTTTGCCCCCGCTGCATCATTCCTGCACTGGCCTCAGACAACGGGAGCTCTGAGCCCCCTCCCTGACTCTGATGGGAAGGAAAAGGAGCACACGATTTTCGAGCTTCTCATTGGAAGCAGGATTTCTTCCTTTGTTGATGGCACTTTGAGAAGGTATGTGCAGAGCATGTGCAGACTAAATATGGCCCATCACCTATTCAACTTGAGGCTGGCAGTCAAGCAACAGAGGCCAGTGGCTGTGAAGTGAGGGGGTGAAGCAGCAGGCGGGAAGGCTGGGCTGCCTGGGCTCTGGTCCCAGTGCTGCTGCTGCCTCTCTGGGCATCTTGGGAAAGTCCAGGCCTTAATTCTTCCTCTATTTTTTGGAAGGTAAGGACGATCCCCTCCTAGGTGGTGTCCGCAGAAGTCTGAAATTCTTGGCCACAGGGATATCAGCTGCGGAGGTCTCATCAAGGTGCGCCAGGAGGGGGCGCTGATGCACAGCACTTGAGGCTCTCGGGCAGAGAAGACAAGCGTGGCTGCCCGTTCTGGATAGCTTCCTGGCCCGGTTTCCCTGGCACTGGCTGGCAGAGAGCCACACTCAGTATTTGTGTGGGCCGTGGAGGAGATGCTGTCCCAGGAGGCTCAGAGGGGAGTCTGAGGTGCCAGAGCAAACCTCTGAGAGGCTTGATGAGAACCCATCTGAGGTGTTTGGGTGCTGTGTGCTTGGATGGGAGGCGACACCCCAGTCTCTTTATCTGTGTAGATCTATCAAAGCCTTGAATGTCCCAGGCTTTCTTCCACTTTGGGGCTCCGAGCTGGCCCAGTGCTGCATGCTCTGTTTACACCATCTTATTAAATTATCTGAGGCAAGTCCTCCTTGGGTAGATGAGAAGATTGAGGCCCAGGGAGGTCAAGCAGTTTCTCTAAAGCCACACAGCAGTCAGTGGAGGACGATGAAGTCACACCTGCTGTTTGACTCCAGGGTCCATGCTATTAAAAAAAAGTGCTGCCTCCTGGCCAAGACTCGGGAAGTAGAAGTGACTTTCCCAAGGACCCTTGCCCCCACCCCCACCCCTCTGCATAAATGCCCTAACTTCTCTGCCTCAGGTTCTCCACTATCAGTGTGATAGTACTAACACTGTCCAACTGTGTCGTATTCATAGGACTCCTGCAACAGTTGAATCAGGGGGAAAACATCCCTTCCCCCAATACCATCCCAGTGCCCTGGGCTGCCCTCCATCCTTTCTTCCCTGACAGGGTCCTGTGGGTCCACAGAAGTCTGAAATTCTGGGCCATGGTGATATCTGATACCAGCTTGAAAATCATATGTGCTCCTTTCCATCAGAGTCAACCTGGGGGTTGAGGCTGGCTCTGTGGACGTCTGAGAATAGGAAATGCTGCTGTCTGCCTGACTGAAGGCTAGGCAGGTCAGGGGACCAGATAGCCCAGGTTGGAGAGGTTTGGAATCAAGGGGTTTCTGTGGGAATGTAGGAGGAGCCACTGCTGCCTGCTGCTCTCAAGGTCCCATCTGAAAGCCTGGCTAAGCACTGCTATGTGCTAAACTTCCTGGAACTCGGAGGAGTTTGGCTGCTGACGGTGACAGAAGAGTCAGTGTTTGCGGACAGCCTACTCCATCTTCTGCCACATGGTGGTCTCCTCTGTCATGCACTCATCAGACATCAGCTACTGGGCTGGGGGAGACCCATAAACCTCACATCAGGTCTGACCTCAAATACAGGCCAGGCAGGACCACAGGAAATGTGGAGGGCAGACCCAGAAGTCTTGGGAAGGAGCAGCATTTGAGCTGGAACTAAAAAGAAAAGCTAAGTTGTGAGCAGTGGAGAAGGGCGCAGAGGCAGAGGGAACTGCCTGAGCAGCGCTAGGTGAGAGAATGCAAGGGGAGTCAGGAAGAGTTTTGCTCACCCAAAGCCCCCATGGCTGTGGGAGGGGCAGTTGGAAGGCTTGGAGTCTGGCTCCTGAGGACCCTGAATGTCAAGGAAAGGGGCTGGGCCATGCATGATTCTGTGGGCAGTGGCATCTACAGGCTAGAGGCAGTCCTTAGTCCTGCTGCTACTCGGCGAGTGGATGAAAGGCCCATCTCTGGGGCCAGCTGTATCTCACCTGGACAAACCTCCATAGCCCATGCTGAGGCTGGCTCAGGCTCCTTGCAACCCGCATTTTTCTCTGCAGGGACCTGGTGGGCTTGCCCTTGGGAAGTTGAAGCCTGTGCCTGTCCAGCTCCTCAGAAGGGCTGTGATCCCCCTCAGCACTTGAGAGCAGGCAGTTCAGCCTCCCCCAGCAGGAGCTCACTGGGCCATTTAATCCACTGTGCCCAGACATCCTCCTCTGTAAGATGGGAGTGATAACTGTACCTGACTCAGGCTGCACTTAACTCACACTCAGTGAGTCAATGCATGTCAAGTGCTCAGCACCATGACTGGCACGTGGTGACACACTCAGCAAGTCAAACCTCACCATCGTTATGGCCTGTGTGTCCTGAGTGTTCACGTCTGTGTTAGCACATGGACAGCTCCAAGCCAAGGCCAGCAGGTGGGCCAGAAGCAAACTGCCCTTCCAGCTGAGCCAGCCCCTTATCTGGGATCTCTTTTGCACCAAATCTTTCCTGCAAACTACTCCCTTAAGAGAGCTCTGCAGCATGGAAAACCTCTGGAGGGTCTCTTAAGCCCGATGTGCAGGGAAGGTACCTCCAGCTCACCAAGGGGTTGCTGACAGGCTGTTGCAGGGCTCTCAGCCCTACTTGGGTCTGGATGGCACGCCACACGGGAAGGGAGGAGGGAACATGGCTCAGACCCCGCTTGGGCTGCACAAGGAGAGAGTGGCCCCAGTTTGTACCATACACATAGATACCTCCCAACCTGTCTGTTCCTTTGGGGGCAGTGAGGGCCCCCAGATGCCAACTCCTCGATGAGGCCCTAAACTAAAAAGACAAGCTAAGTTGTGAGCAGTGGAGAAGGGCGCAGAGGCAGAGGGAACCTCCTGAGCAGCACCAGGTGGGAGAATGCAAGGGGAGTCGGGAAAAGTTTTCCAGCCCTTGGAAAATAAAGGGAACAGTCCAATTGCCTCACCCCAAGAATAAAGCCAACAAGTCTTCCTGGCAAGGGCAACTTTATTTCTTCATACTCCCATCATACTCCAAACCCCAAATCCCTAAACCCAACGGGAAGTCATAGGAGTGCCTTGGAAATAGTAAAAAAACAGATTTTCTAAAAAGAATTTCTTTGATGTAACTCTAGTGTGACCAATTGATTTCTCTCCCCTTCTCAAGGTCCTCATCCTCAGGAAGCACGGTGAGCAGGTGAGGGCATTCCAGACAAGCAGCCATTGGATGGAGGAGTGGGGATCCAGTGGTCAGAGGTGTGTGAGCGTCAAAGCAAACAAAGAACCCACACCCAGGGAGGAGACACAAAACCAGCGCCACGGGACAGAGAGGCTGTGAACGTGGGTCACACCAGTGTGGCTGGTGCTAAAGGAGTTTCAAGCAGGAACCAGCATCTAAGTGTCTGGCCCCGGAGTAGGTGGGATGAGCACATACTCTCAAAATCCCAGTGTGCTTCAGCCATGTGCCAGGTGAGCCTGGGGTTGGAGGTTGGGCTGGAGCACCAGAAAACAGGTCCACACAGTCCAAGGAGGTAGGGCCTGGCAGACACATGCAGAGTCACCTTCCTCACCTGCTCTACCCAAGGGCAGGGGCAGGGAAAGGAAAGGTACAGAGGCAATGAGGAAAAAGAGACAGCAACATGGGTCTAGCAGAGGCCTGGGTGTAGGGGAGCACCTGGCTCATTTCTTGCTACGCATAGACCCACTGAGGAAGAATGTAGCGAGGAGGTGCTTAAGTACTTGACCCGAGGTCAGACGGAGCTGGTGTAAATCCCAGCTCCACTCTTCCTGGCTGTCTGCTAGCTGTGTGAGCTCGGGCACAGTTGTAGAATGGAGATGACACCAGTGTCTACACCCAACGATTATGAAGATGATCTCTGTAAAGTGCCTACTACAAAGTAAATGCTTAATAAATTGAAGCTGAAAGTATTACTCCAAAGCATCCAATTAATTCACCAGCTTCAAGGTGCACGATTTATTTACAAAACCAGCTTCTGGCTGTCTGCACCCTTCAGTTGTTCAGATGGCTCCTGCTCCCTCTGTCTGAGCTTGGGACGGGCTACAAAAGGAATGGTCTGAGGTCAGAGTCCCAGACCAGATGGCCACTTCTCTGCAAAGCCACTTTTGGTGTGGCTGTTCAATTCTCACACGGCAGTTTTTCCAGCTAGGAGAACAGGAAGGTGGCAGCCTGGGGCGGGATGGGTCTCTCCCTGGGGGTGGAGTGGCTGAACGTGGGGCACAGGCTGAGTTTCTCCCCTCTGCCCCTTGAGGAGAAAGGCAAACCCCAGGCCTGTAGAATGGGACAGCTCATGCTGGCAGGGAGCAGCCTGGTGGGCTGAGAGGGGCTGGGAGAATCTGCCGAGGGTTGGGTTCTTCCTGCTGGCTCTGCTGGGCAAGGGGGTAGGATGCCCCTCATCCACGGTCATGGGCACTGAGACAGAGAGAATACAGGCCTGAGGGCCAAGGTCCCAGGCCAGCTCTGGTCCCAGGGTAAACTGACTTCTGGGAGCCTACCCCCAATCACCTTCGTCCCTTGATGTTCAGTGGGTGCTGGGGGCCTGCTCTCCAGTGGCTTCCGCTGCAGCCAGCTCCGGCATCCCCGCGGTATGACCGCACCAGCCCTGGGCAGCCCCTGAGGGTCTCTAGCTCCCAGATGGAGAGGCAGGAGGCCCTGGGCTAGTGTGCAGCCCCTCTTCAGGGGTTCTGTAGTAATGCACGAATCCTGAGGCATAAAGACCATGGTTCCTGGAGAGAGGAGCATCCTGATCACTGTCATGGGCGAACGCTGCCGAGACCTGCAGGATGGGGCAGCGGGCCAGTGGGTGTGAGGACCCAGAGATGAGGTCTGAGTGTGCCGAGGCAGCCTGGGTATGAAGGAATAAGAGGGTCAGCCTGATGCAAGCCCACCTCCCAGGTTCAGGCCCAGATACCCAGGACCAGCCTGTGCCTGCAACACAGCAGTGGCAGTCCTAGAAGAGGGCAAGTCCATGTCTGCTCTGCAACCCAGGAAGCACTCAGCGATATCACTCACCCATCCAAGGGCACCCTGCTGGGAAGGGTGTGTCTGGGATTAAAACCCACCCGCTTTGCCTCCTCTGTCTTTGCAGTCACGGGCCACAGTGCCCAGCTGCATGGTGGTGATTAGGAATGTTATAGATCACAGGCTTCGGGTCAAATCCCAGGTTTGCTACTTGCTAGCTGTGTGCCCTTGGTCAAGTTACTTAACTTCTCTGAGACTTGTTTTCTCATTCATAAAATGGGAATAATAGTACCGCTTATCTTATAGGATTACTATTGGGATTAAATGAGATGATGCTAGTGAAACATTTGTCTGAGAGCCTAGCAAGTCCTAAGGACCAAATTAATATTTCTGTGAGCTCACCATCATGCTTAGCACTTTAGGTACGTGGTTGTATATAATTCTCACAATGGCTCTATTGTTGCTGCTGTTTTTTTTTTGTTTTTGTTTTTGTTTTTTTTTTTTGAGATGGAGTCTCACTCTGTCACCCAGGCTGGAGTGCAGTGGCGCAATCTCGGCTCACTGCAACCTCAGCCTCCTGGGTTCATGCCATTCTCCTGCCTTAGCCTCCCAAGTAGCTGGGACTATAGGTGCTCGCTGCTACGCTCAGCTAATTTTTTGTATTCTTTAGTAGAGACGGGGTTTCACTGCATTAGCCAGGATGGTCTCGATCTCCTGACCTCGTAATCCACCCGCCTCGGCCTCCCAAAGTGCTAGGATTACAGGCGTGAGTCACCGCGCCCGGCCAGTTGTTCTCTCTTTTATAAGGAAACCACTCTCTTATAAGGCCGCTCTCCTAGCAGGTGGTCAAGCTGGGCTTGAACAGGACAGTCTTTCTGCAGTCTCTGTACTCCCAACCAGTGACACCTTTCTCCAAGAGCCCCAGCAGCCCTGAGAGGGGCCTGTCCATGGGCATGTTAGAGTCTGGGCCCCAGGTTTGAAGGATGTGGGGGCCTAGTGCTGCTCCCCCCACCCTCTATGGCCTCCTCAACTCACAGAGCATTCGTCCCTGACTGTTGTCCTGCAGAAGCAGCCAGCCTGTGCCTCCCTCTCAGTGGGCGCATCTTGGGAGCCCCTGTGTGACCAGCCAGGAAGGGCTATGCTGGGCAAACTCTCCTCCTCAGAGCGGTAGTAAGGGAAGAACCCACTGAGCAGTTCTGAGTCCTCCTGGAGCAGTGTCTCGGGCTGCAGGTCCAACCCCTCCTCTGCCAGGAGGTACCCATAGGTGCAGAAGAAAGGCAGGTACTCCAAGGCCACCTGGGCCCTATGTGAAACGTGGAGGGAGCTTAGGGGCTTCTTGTCCCTTGAACTGGTGGCCTGCTGTTGGGAGGACAGGGGCCCTGGGTCATCCTCCTCCAGGAGGCTAGGAGAGGTTGGGGCCCCAGATTCATCCTCACAGTTCTTCTGAGACATCTGAGAAGAGAAGGACATTCCATCTGTTACTGCACCCTGAATTCCTAACCACACCAGCTCTGTCCCCAGTCCCTGCCTACATTGGAGGCTAGACGGGTCTTACAAAGCCCAAACCTGACCGTGGCTGTCCTCTGTGAAAAACCAGCAATGGGCCTCAACCATGGTTAGATTGTTCAAGCACACAGGCCTTCTTGCCATTCCTAAGTCACACCAAACTTGGCCTTCCCTTAGAATCTGTGCCAAGATCTGCTCCTGGACTCTCAGCTCAGAAGAGCCTTCCCAGTCCCAACCTCCCTGCAGGGTGACTCCAGATCATTTCATCACTGGAATGCTCTTGTTGGGGTGTGTGGTCCACCTGCTTCATGTGTGGGGTGGTCTTATCTGTCTTATCTGTCTGGTGCCTCTCGTTCATAATAGGCATTCAATTGACACTTTTTCAATTAGTCTGCTGGCTCTCAGTCCAACTCATATTCCCTTCACTCTGTCCACTCCAGCTCCACAGGCCTTCTCTTGGTCCATCTCACTTGCCAAGCATCCTCCCGCCACAGGGGCTCTGCATGGGCTAATGTTCCTGCCCAGAGTCTCTTCCCTCTCCTTTCTCCTAGGTGGTGACTTCCTCAGCACTTGACTAAGGTCACTTCCCTTATGTCCCTGGCTTAGTGGCATCACCTTCTTCATGACTGCCGCCACCCTCATACCCCTCATTCAGAGCACCCGTTCCTCTGCTGTGAAATATTTGACTGTGTGGTTTCTTGATTAATGTCTCTCATCCTGTTAGTTACAAATTCCACTGAGGCAAGGCCCATCTGTCTAGATCATTTCTGTGTCTCAAAGGTCTAGAAAAACCCTGGCATATGGTAGACACCAAGTATTGGAAGAAAGGAAAGAAGGGTGGGAGGGAAGGAAAGAGGTAGACAAAAAGAGAACACCTTGGCCAGGAACGAAGTCTTTATCAGACTCCATGGTGATAGGAGGGAGAAGTCACGTCTTGGGGAGAGGGTGGAGAAGCAGAATGAGGAATTAATTCCCAGGCCCAGAGGGGACACGTGGCCCGGAGTACCGGGTAGTGAAAAGCCAGCTCATTCCCACGTTGACTCTGCTAGACCCAGAGCCCATCAGGAACATGGCAGGGGGCCCCTTTGATCCTAAGAAAGCCCCCAGGCTGTTCCACTTGTGGACTCCAGTCCCATGGAAGAACCTAGGTCGCTTAGCCCCCAGCCTTCCTGACTCCCACCCTAGCCCTTAGGCCTTGAGTCCCTGCCCCTGACACATGCTCCTGTGGTCCATGCTCTCCCCCAACTCCCTGCAGGCAGCCTGACCACTGAGGTCCCTGTCCTAAGCCAGACCCCTTGGTAAGTGCCTACTGGCCCACAGACTGCCAGATTCTGGTGAGCAGGAACCAGGCCCCCTCCTCCAAGTCCCAGAGACCCAGCTCAGGGCCATCTTTGCTGAGTTTCTACAACTCCCAAACACTCCGTAGAGCTCTGTGGTCCTCTCTCTCAGGTAATCCTTAGGAAGCCCACCGGGATAGACTTGCCTTTCCAACTTCACTGTGCCAAGGAGATGGGACAGGCTAAATGGCAGCACCCAGGTTTGACCCACTCTGAAGCCTGTGCTCAGTTCACTGAGAATTATATGTTGTTGTGTGCCCCCATAAGACATGTTCAAGTCTTAAGCCCTGGCACTTGTGGATGTGACCTTATTTGGAAATGGGATCTTGGCAGATGCAATCAAGTTAATATGAGGTCACACTGGGTCAGGGTGGGCCCTGAATCCAATGACTTGTCCCTATAAGATGAGGGAAATTTGGACACAGACACACAGGGGGAGTGTCATATGATGATGGAGGAAGCGATTGGAATGATGCTGCCACAAACCAAGGCACATCAAGAATTGCATCATCACAGGAAGCTAGGAGGGAGGCATGAAGGAACAGATTCCCTGCTGAGACCCCAAGAAGAAAACAACCCTGCCAACACCTTGATTTTGAAATTTTGGCCTTCAGAACTGTGAGAGAATAAATGTGTGTTGTTTTAAGCTACGAAGTTTGTGTTAATTTCTTCTGGCAGCCCTAGGACACTAACACATGTAGGTTTGCTGGATGGCTCATTTGTGGGGATAAAGGGATATGACACAGACTTGAGGGCTCTCCCAGCACCACCCTGTGAGCAGCTTGGGGAGAAGGCCCATTGCCATGACCAAGATTCATTCTGTTGGGGGCTCACCTAAGGCCCTACACTTCCTGTCATCCAGTGGGCGCTGGACAGCACACACTCTCCCTGTGGTGGGCCAGCGGCCCTCCCACAGCTCATTCTTTCCTGCCAGGGCCCCAGCTCTGCTTCAACAGTGAGTCCTGGATTGAAGGAGGCCAGGTGTCCTCTGAGCTCCCCTGGGAGGCCTCAGCAAGATGGCAGGTGTACAATGCCACTCACAGTCTCCAGTGAGCACCACTTCCGGCGTCCTGTTTTGGGGTCAGCAGTAGCACCGCATCGTGACACGATGAAGCCTAATCGTAAAACTCTGGCTGAAAAGACAAAGCCTCCCTCGGCAGGCCTCTCCCTCCCAGCCTCCTCTTTACCCTGGCAAATCCCCCTCTGCCTGCTGAGAAAAGATTCCATCATGAAGTCATAAGGCCTGGTGCCAGGCAAGAAAACCAGATGGCTCTGTTACCATGGAGACTCTACCCAAGCACCCAACACCTGTGATCATCACCTGTCTCTTAATTCAGCTTAATCCACATCTTCCCAGGAGACTCAGGGGAAACAAAGAGAATGCAAACATCTTCTGGACTCTGATCAGTTCTTCATCACTGGGGGCCAGTGAGCTCACCTGGGACTTCTGCCCAGAGACTGTGAGAGTGACTCAGCACCTCCAGTAGATGGTCAGGAAGGGCCCCAAGGATCTGTTCCACCAAGTCCAGGGAACTGGAGTGAGCTGCATGCTCCTCTCTGGGGTGCCTCAGTTCACTCAGGGTGGGGCCAAGACACCAGTCTCTGCCCTTGTCACTCACTTTCAGCTGCCTCTCCTCTGTGGCTCTTCCCCAGTCACTTGCTGGCAGGACACAAGACAAGTGGAGCAGTCATGGGAGGACTGATGATGTAGGACATCTGCTTTTTCCCACAGAGCCAATGTCCCCAGCTCCTCTCCCAGGCCTGGTGCTCCTAAGTATCAACTACTGCCCAGGGCAGTTCTCATGTGGTGTGTCATGTGGTCCTCTCCACAAATCTTCAAGTCAGGAAGTCCGCCACTGTCATGCCATTTTGCAGACTGGAGAGTTGAGCCTCAGTGCCGGGACAGGAAGGTGAACCAGCCTGAAAAAGGGGCTCCATTAGTTTCTAGCCTTAGGGCTTGAAGCAAGAGAGCCTTGGAATGCCACTGATGGTCACAAGGCTGAGACATCTCCAGGACTTCACACTTCCCCAGGGCTGGAGTCCAAGCCAGGAGTGACCCAGCCAGGTTCTCCAGGCTCAGGCAAAGCTCCTGCATCTCTCTACTCTGTGCCCTCAGACCCTGGTGCCCATCTGCTGCTGGGTCATTTTCTTTTGTATAGACTTAACTCTTTAATCCATATCAAATTCAGTTTTTGTAAGTGGTAATAGATAAGCCTCTAATTTTGTTTTATTTTGTTGAGTCACTTGACTCAACATCATTTAAGAATAAATTATTTTTCCCTAACCTGATTTGAAATACCAAAATAGACACATTCTAAATTCTTAACTATTGCAAACTTAAGTTCACTTTTATAATTTATTTTTGTATCCATCGCTTTGTCTCTCTTTGTACCAACATCATATTATTTTGATCTCTTTAGTTTTATATAAATTTAATTCATGTTACGTTATCACCTTTTAAAAACTCAACTTCATTGAGGTCTAATTTACATACACCACAAAGTATACTGTTCATGAATTTATACATCAAATAACAACCTTGGAATTAATATATAGAAATGCCTCTTTTCAGGTAATCCGCTCTCTTGCTTCCCAACTCCAAGCAACCACTGATGTGTTTTTGATACTATAGATTTATTTTCCCTATTCTAGAATATATGGAATCACACAGTACATGTTCTTTTGTGCCTAGTGAGCTTCTAACATTCAGCACTATGTTTTTAAGATTCATCTTTTTTGTGGTATAGTTTGCTCCCTTTTATTGAGGAGTAGTAGTAATACTGTTACGTGGTGTAACACAATTTGCTTATCTAGCCTTCTGTGCATACAGTCTAGTTGTTTCCATTGTGAATAGTGCTGCTAGAAATAGTTACATACAAGTCTTTGAGTGGGTATAGTTTTCATTCTTCTTAGGTAAATAGCTAGGATTTGAGTAGTTCGATCACATCTTAAGTGTATGTTTAACTAAGTAAGAAACTGCCAAACTGTTTCCATTTTATGGAATATCAAATGATACATTCATTTTACATTCCCAACAGTAATGTTGGGAAATGTCCCAGTTTCTTCACATTCTTTTTAACTTTTGCCATTCTCGTGGGTGTATAGATACCATTCTGGTTTTAATTTGCATTTTCTTGATGACTAATGATGTTGAGCATTTCTTTTATGTGCATACTGCCATTTGTATATTTTCATTTAAGGGTTTACATCTTTTCTCATTTTAATAACTTTATTGTTATAATTAAAGTACAATAAGCTACATAGATTTAAAGTGTACAATTTGATCAATTTTTACATATGTACACACCTCAGAAACTATCACCATGGTCAGGATAACAAATATTTATATCAACCCCCAAATTTTTCTCATTTGCTTTTATAATCCATCTTCCCTCCATTCCCATCCACAGACAACCATTGATCTGCTCTCTTATTTTACATTTTCTAGAATTTTATACAAATGGAATCTAAAGTGTAGCTTTTGTATGATTTCTCTTAGCATAATGCTATTGAGATTAATCTATGCTGTTGCATGAATCAATAGTTTGTTCCTGTTTTGTTGAGCACTATTCCACTGCATGGATATATCCCTGTTGTTATTCTACTGTATGTAGTGTGCCATTCTTCTCTAGCTGTTTTGAAGATGTTTTTGTTTATCCTTCGTAAGTGGTAATAGATAAGGTTTTTAGCCCTTTATAATGTGTCTAGGCATGGTTTTCATTGACCTTATCCTTTCTGGGGTTTACAGAGCCTCTTAAGTACATTGATTTACATTTTTCACCACATTTAGGAAGATTTAGGTCTTTATTTTGTCAAGTATGTTTTTTCCAGCCTATTTCTCCTCCCCTTCTGGGACTCTAATGTCATGTATGTTAAATTTTTTTACGTTTTTCCATGGATCCCTGAGACTCTGCTCATTTATGTCTTAACCTTTTCTCTGTGTTCTTCAGATTTGTGTAAATCACATGTATCTATCTTTAAGCTCACAGACTCTTTCCAATTGACATCACCATTCTGCTATTGAAATCATCCAGTGAAATTTTTTTTTCAGATTTTGTATTTTTCAGTTCTAACATTTTCATCTGGTTATTTTTTTACAGTTGCTATTTCTCTATTGAGAACTTCTTTTTATTTGTGCCAAATGTGTTTCTCTTAACCTCACAGAACATACTCATAATAGCATTTTGAAGTCTTTGATGATAATTCCAACACATGGCCCACCTTGGGATTGACATTAATTTCTTTTCCTTGAGAATTGTTCACATTTTTCTGGTTATTTGTATGTTGGGTAATTTTAGATTGTCCTAGACATTTTGAATATCATTTTATGTAGACTTTGGGTCAGGTACATAATCCTCCGTAGAGAGCTGATGTTTTAGCTTTATCCGGAAATCAATTTAGTTAGGTTTGAGCTGCAAGTTCTGTCTTGCCTTTAGTATACAGTGGTGCAAATCTCAGTTCTCTAAGCCTTTGCCGTATTCATTTGGGTCTGTTTTTTGCATGCATTATTTAGCAATTAGGATAAAAAGATGTGTGCGCATGGTTTAAATCTTAGTTTGGTTCTTTCTGAAAGCTTTTCTATTCTGGTTTAGGTCTATCCCACTCATGCATAATTCAGGAGTTAGGCTGAGACTTGTAGGCATTTATTCACAGAATTAGAGGACTGCTTTTCTGGCTACCTTCCTTCCTGGATGTCCTCATGCTTTGTTTCCTTCTGTGGTCTCTATCCTGGTTCATTTGACCAGAAATACTGCATTTCTTCTAGAGTAGCCATCCTTTTGCCACCACTGCATTGCTGTAGTGTAATTAGAGTGTGCTTTCTGGGCAAAGCTGAGAGAGAAAGAAATAGAAACAGAGAGAGAGAGAAACAGAAACAGAGAAAGAGAGAGAGAGACAGAGAGAGAGAGAGAGAGAAAGAGAAAGAGAGAACAAACCTGGGAAACTCTCCCCTGCATGAATCACTGTCTCAAGTCCAAGTAATTTTGCCTCTCCTCCACAATGTTCTTGTTTACTTTTTAGAGTTCTCGGGTAGCTAGTTTTGCATTTTGTGTAGACTTTTTGGTATAGTAAGTGGGAAGAATGGGCTATAGTGAACTTATCCTATCACGCTATTATCTTCATTTTGCCCACTTCTTATAAGATTGTTTGTCTTACTGTTGAATTGTAAGAGCTTTTTGTGTATGCTGGATACAAGTTCTTTGTCAGAAATAGGTATTGTGAATGTTTTCTCCCAGGTTGTGCCTTGACTTTTTATTTTATTAACACGGTCTTTCTAGGAAACAGAAATTTTAAATTGTGATGGAATCTGTTTATTAATTTTTTCATTTGTGCTTTTTGTATCCTAAGAAATCTTTGCCTACCATAAGATTGTGAACATTTCTTCTCACCTTATTTTTCAAGTTCTATAGCCTCAGCTTTTATATTTAGGCCTGTAATTCCATTTGAGTTCATTGATGCTATTTGAGTTGGGGAGCAAGAGTTATCTATATTTTCCATTTGGATAGCTATTGTGCATCACTGGCTGAAAAGACTTTTCTTTCTCTCATTGATACACATTGGCATATTTGTCAAAAATCCGTATATATATGTGGATTCATACCTGGATTATCTGTTCTGTTCCATTGATCTCTACTCACTGCCTTATTGTAGATCACAGTTTCTCAGCCTTGGCACTATTGATACTTTGAGCCAGATAATTTTTTGTTTCAGGGCATTGTCCCGTGCACTGTTGGTTGTTTAGCAGCATCTCTGGCCTCTGCCCACTAGATACCAATATCATACTGCTCTCCTCCCTCCAGAGTAGTGACAATAAAGAATGTCTCCCAACTTTGCCAAATGTTCCCTGAGGGGAGGGAGATTGGCCCTGTTGAGCACTACTGCTATAAATTTACTACATTCCTTGATAGCTAGGATAGTCTGCCAACTTTGCTCTTTCTAAAATACATTTTTATATTTTTACAATATAAACAAAAATACATTCTAGGTCTTTTGCACGTTCATATAAATTTACGTTAAATTTATCTCTAAATATTTTGGGATTTTTATGTCTCTCTTTTTTAGTCGGTTTTATTGAGATCAATTGTGTACAGTGAAATTGACAAATACACTGTTACATTCTAAAGAATGTCTTCAGGTTGAAAGCTGAGGTAATTTTAGGGCTTCCCTCATTGGCTCTCTTTCTCCTTGGATCATTGTCCTGTGTTTTCTGTTTTCCATCATCTTTAAATAGTGGTTTCTTATTTTATTCAGTTTTCTTGTAGCTTATAGTGGGAGGGCAAGTCTAGTACCAGTTACCTCACCGTGACTACAGGCAGAAGTCCCTAATAACCAGCGTTTAACTGTCTTATTTATTGGAGTGGTTCCTCTGTGCCAGAAACTACACTAGTCATTCTTCATTGATTATTTTATTTCTTATTAATAATCTTATCAGATAGGTACCAATGATCATCCCTATGTAAAGATAAGAAAATGAGGCTTAAAGAGGGTACGAATTTATTGAGTAATAGACAGTAGCAAATGGAAGGGCTGGAATTCAAATTTTGGTAGTCAGACTCTGAAGTGAAGTGTTTAATCACTTCGCCAGTTGTCCAAAAGCACTATATGAAAAATGATTTTAGATGACACACAGGCAAACTGTTTTTATTTTAGTAGAAAATTAATGTAATATGTGTTAGAAAAAATACAGTTACTACATCTGATATGGTTTGGTTTTGTGTCCCCACCCAAATATAATCTCGAATTGTAATCCCCACATGTTGAGGGAGGAACCTGGTGGGAGGTAATTGGATGATGGGGGTGGTTTCCCCCATTCTTTTCTTGTGATAGTGAGGAAGTTCTGACGAGATCTGATGGTTTTAAAAATAGCAGCTTTCCCTGCACGCTCTCTGTCTCTCCTGCCACCACGTGAAGAAGGTGCCTACTTCCCTTCACCTTCCTCCATGATTGTAAGTTTCCTGAGGCCTCCCCAGCCATGTGGAACTGTGAGTCAATTAAACCTCTTGTTTATAAATTGCCCAGTCTCAGGTAGTATCTTTACAGCGTGTGAAAATGGACTAATACAACATCTAAGCCATGATTTTTCAGATGCTTTTGTTTGGGACAAGAGTGAGTAGATTTTTTTTAAATAAAAAGATCAGTCTGTTTAAATATCTGTATTACAGGTCATAATCAGATATGGCGAGAACATGCAGGTGACAGAGGATATCTGCACTCTGGGAAGGTGCACTGATTATGTGTATCCTTTCTGGTTTGGTGAATGTGGCTCCAGGCCTGCCCCTGTGTCCACGTACATCTGTAGACATGGATGAATAGAACTCATTTTACTTAAGGGAAACTTGCACTGCAACTTGCTTTTTTCATTCCACAATATATGCTAGTCTTTGTCCTTTCCCACACACAGAGAAAGTTCAAAGGCAGCCCCTCAGGCCTTTCTGTGGGGTTGATGCTCTTCCTTACCTGCAAGCAGCTTTTGGTGCCTTTATAGCAGGGGTCCCCAACCCCCAGGCCATGGACTGGTACTGGTTCATGGCCTGTTAGGAACCAGGCCACACAGCAAGAGGTGAGCAGCCAGCGAGAGAACATTACCACCTGAGCTCCACCCCTCGTCAGGTCGGTGGGGGCATTAGATTCTCATAGGAGTGCAACCCCTGTTGTGAACTGTGCGTGCAATCTAGGTTTTCATGCTCCTTATGAGACTCTAACTAATGCCTGATGATCTGAAGTGGAACTGTTTCATCCCATAACCATGCCTTCCCCCTCTCTGTGGAAAACTTGTCTTCTACCAAACTGGTTCCTGGTACCAAAAAGGTTGGGGACCGCTACTTTAGAGTACATCCACCTCACAGCTGCTGCGAAAATCAGGGTTCCAGGATTTCCATAGCAGGCCCTCAGTTATCCCAGCCAGCACAGGGCCCAGGAGGAAATGCACATAGTTCACTGTGTCAGATGAACTTAATCAAACTGGGAGGTAACAAAAGGCCCACAGCTCCAGCGTCTGGTCTAGCAGAACCCACCATACTCTGTGGGCCCATCACAGGGAGGCCCTGCCAGTTCACAAGGCAGTGGCCTCCCATGGCCTCACTGAATCCTCACTAGGCCTTCATGCCCAGGGACCAGCCTGGATGATCCAGCTGAGACAAACGATGACTTGTCCAGGGCTGTAGAATGATGGAGCTGGGAATCTGCACCAGGAACTGTGCCGAGGAAATACTTTAAGCATACCCTTACATGTACCTCTCGCCACACCAGGGCCGGGGTTTAAGACCACCTGGTCAGGGCCAGACACATTGGAGAGTCCTAGGAAGACATTGGGGTGAAGGTGTGCAGAGAAGATGCAAATATAACAGGAGGGATGATAGCTGAAAGGACAAAAACAGAGTTGAAGTTCAATAATTTGTGTGCCCCGTCCTAATTTCTCACAGTCCCACCTATGACTGGTACTATCGTTATCGACAGTTTGTCAATAAATTAATTCGCTTAAAAAATCCTTAAGCACAGCAGGGTGACTACAGCCAACAATAATTCATTGCACATTTAAAAATAACTAAAAGAGTATAAATGGGAATGTTTGTAACACAAAGAAATGATAAATGCTGGAGGGGATGGATACCCCAGTTACCCTGATGTGATTGTTACAAATCGCCTGCCTGCATCAAAATATCTCATGTACCCCATAAATATATACACCTACTATGTACCCACAAAAGCTTAAAAAATAAAATAAAATAAATAAAAATCAATTCAGTAAATAACATCCCTTAAATATTCATATTTATCTGTTTACTTTTTTGAGACAGAGTCTCACTCTGCTGCCCAGGCTGGAGGGCAGTGGTGCGGGCTTGGCTCACTGCAACCTCCACCTCCCAGATTCATGCGATTCTCCTGCCTCAGCTTCCTGAGTAGCTGGGATTACAGGCCCATGCCACCACACCCAGCCAGTTTTTGTATTTTCAGTAGAGACAAAGTTTCACCATGTTGGCCAGGCTGGTCTCAAACTCCAGACCTCGGGTGATCTGCCCACCTCGGCCTCCCAAAGTGCTGAGTTTATAGGCATGAGCCACTGCACCTAGCCTAAATACTCATATTTAAGCAGGCAAAATTTAACAAAGGAAGAATTGGGACAGGACGGTGTCTTTCTTTTATTGCATTTTTCTTGCACTTATTTTTTTAATTACTTATTCATTTTTAATTGACAAGAATGGTATATGCTGTATTATGTAAAACATGATCTTTTGAAGTTACGTGTATATTTTAAAACATTAAACTAATTAACATATGTGTTACCTCACTTATTTTTTGTGGTAAGAACACTTAAAATCTCAGTGATTTTCAAGAACACAATACGTTGTTATTAACTATGGTCACCATATTGTACAACAGATCTCTGGAACTTATTCCTCCTGACGAACTGAAATTTTGTGCCCTTCGACCAACATCTCCCCAATCCCCCACCCCCAGCCTCTGGTAACCACCATCCTACTCTGTGCTTTTATGAATTTGATTGTTTTAGATTCCACATATATGTGAGATCAAGAGATATTTGTCTTTCTGGGCCTGATTTATTTTACTTTATGAAATGTCTTGTAGGCTCATCCCTGTCACAAATGACAGGATTTCCTGCTCTGAGAAGCAGCCCTGCCCATCCTCCTTCCCAGGGAGAATCTAGGGGTGGGGATAGGGAAACAGAGGACCCTTCCTTCCGCTCCTTGCAATTCATGGGTTTGGAAATCCCAGAGTGGCAGAAACCTATGCCATGTCTCCCAGGGGGATCTAGAGGCAGGATCCCTCCTACAGAAGCCCCTGTAGCTGCAGGAGGCTTCAGGCAAAAAGTCCCGAGTTCCCCCACACACTCCAGGGAGCAGCTGATCATCGTCCTGTGTGGCCAAGGTCAGTTCCCGTAGGTGCTGCTGGTTCCTTACCCAGTGTCCACTCAACCCCTCCCATGATTTTCTCCTGGATGCAGTGAGAAACATTCGCTTATCTAGACCCCCTTGCAGCCAGAGAGCCCATGCGAGTGCAGGCAAATGGGCTAAAAATGGAAACACACGACAGGCCTTCTGGAAAAGACGTTCCCTAATAAAAAGTGAAGGCGTTCATTGATGTGTCTGCTCTTTGTTCTACCCTTGCCTTCCTGCCTCGAATGAGAATATCAAGAGGCCCCTGGTACACGGGGACTTGCAATATAAAATACGAAACCCCCTTGGGAAGAGTAGGACAAAAACCACATGCTGTGGGTGGCAGAGCAGAAAGAGAGGAGCCAGTCACCTCCCTGCTCAGTTAGGATTGCTTTTGGCTGCATGTAGCACATACTCGACAACAGTGGCTTAGCCAAACAGGAATTTATTTTTCTGACATGAGGAAAATTCCAGAGGGAGATATCAGGCAGCTGCAGCCTCAACTGGTGGCATAAAGCCTGGGGAGAGGGGCTTTTAGTGGGGCCTTTGCTCACTTACAGGCCAGCTAGGGCCATATTGTCCAAAACAAAAAGACAAAAACAGTAATTGGCAAGTGAATGTGAGTTTCACAATCCACAGATTAGGTTGCAAGACGTGATATTTTTATCTTCCAATACAACTAAATTATGTTCCCAGACCTAACTGGGGCCCCATGGGAGGAAAATTAATGTAATTGAGCCAGTGAATTCAATCAGCTCAGGGCCAATTTGGTCAAAGTGAGTTGTTTTCTTTTTTTCTTTGTCCCCAACATAGCATTAAAATGGTCCATCTGAGGCAAAGCATGGTGGCTCATGCCTGTAATCTCAGCACTTTGGGAGGCTGCAACTAGAGGATCACTCGAGTATAGGAGTTTGAGACTAGCCTGGGCAATGTATTGAGCCTGCATCTCTACAAAAAATTTTAAAACGAGCTGGGCACAGTGGCTTGAGCCTGTGGTCCCAGGTACATAGGAGGCTGAGGCAGGAGGATCGCTTGAGTCCAGGAGGTGGAGGCTACAGTGAGCTGTGATTGCACCACTGCAACTCCACCCTGGGCAACAGAAAAAGACTCTTTCTCCAAGAAAAAAGGTCCATTGGTACTACGGAATACCATTCAGCAGTACTACTCAAAACAGCACAAATGAATCTCAAATGTTAAACTATGTGGAAGCAGCTAGGCTCAAAAGATGATATTGTGTATTAGTCCATTTATATGACATTCTGGAAAAGACAAATCCACATGGACAGAGGACAGATCAGTGGTTGCCAGGGGCCAGAGGTTGGGGGAGAGTTGTGGACTTCAAAGGAGCACAAGGAAATTGGGAGGGGTGAGACAGTATGTTCTAGATCTTAATTGTGTTGGTTACACATTTGCCAAAACCCATAGAAGTTTCCATTAAAAAGAATAAATTTTACTGTACATCAATTATACTTAAATAAAACTGATTTTTAAAAATAGAGGGAGGGATCTTGAGCCTCAGAAGGTAGAGATCATGTCTATTTTGCTCAGCATTAAATTCCTGGTATCCAGCACACTATTGAATGAGTGAATGAATGGATATCTAAAATGAGAGCTTTCTCATTCCAGAAAAGTTATTCAACTCCATATTCTATAATAATTTTTGGTTTTCAAAGAGACAGTCTTGCTCTGTTGCCGAGGCTGGAGTGTAGTGGCGTGATCATAGCTTACTGCAG